ATTCTGCCACTCAGCCACAGTGCCACTGGCTTTTTCTGTTTATGTGGTTAATTGAACTCAGGGCTTTATGCATGCTGGACAAACATTCTATCACTAGGCCATATTTCCAGCCCAATATAATATTCTTTATATTTACTTCAACTAGGATGAAATGAGAACCGAATGTGCTGCAATTCATGAAAAACATTGATGAAGAATGTTTTCTTGGGGACAGAAATTCTCAGTGAATACTATAGGGGCAAGAAAAACCATCTTGACACAGACAGAGCACCTTAAGTCCTGCAATATCAAGGACTAAGAAAAACTAAGGGAAAGAGAGCTCACCATATCCTGACATGACTGGAAAAACTATGCTCTCTTCTTTAATAGAGAAGTAAAGAGAATGATTAGCACAGTTCAATTTGAGGATTGCTTAGGAAGTAGAGCATAGCAAGGAGCTAGTACATAATAAAAGTAATGGCGGTTGTTTAGTCAATCCTGAAAAATTGAAACATTTTATTCACATAGCCATTGAAATGTCTAAATCTCAATCTCCTTGACCTTTGGGTCTGAAGGAAAACTCCATTTAAATGGGAATTGGGTGCGTCAATACTAACATCATTATAGACTAACCACTTATCCTAGGTGAGTATAGACTCTAAGCGAGGGAATGTGTGGGATGTTAGTGGTCCATGTGCAGAGATGAATCAGGAAGACATTTTCAGTATATGGGAGGAAATTAAAGTGGTGTATGAGATAATGAAGTTGTGGATAAGAAGAATTCTAGAGAGAGTAGTTTGGAATAAGATGGAATAGGAGGCACGGGAAGGGATCCAGCTTGGTCTTTCTGGGGTAAAGTAGCATTGTAGCATTTGTTCATCATCTAGATCAAGAGGAATGGGTTTTTTTTGAAAAAATATTGTTATTATAAAGATGATGTACAAAGGGGTTAGTTACAGAAGTCAGGTGAAGAGTACATTTCTTTTTGGATAATGTCACCCTCCCCTTGCTCTTTCTCAGTTTTTCCCTCCCATCCCTGGAATGGGAGTTAATTTTTGAGGACAAGGCTGGGGTGGATAGGTGTTTGGAATATGATAAAGAATTGGTTACATTATGGCCTGTACAGTGCCAGACCAAAATCCAGTTGTACAAATGGTCTTAAAGAAATGAGTATTCAAGAGGGCACCGGTGGCTCATGCCTATAATCCTAACTACTCAGGAGGCTGAGATCTGAGGATCATGGTTCATGGTTCAAAGCCAGCTCGGGCAGGAAATTCTGAGACTCTTATCTCCAGTAAACCTAGAAAACCAGAAATGGTGCTGTGGCTCAAGTGGTAAAGCACTAGACTTGAGCTGAAGAGTGAAGGGACAACGCCCAGGCCCAGAGTTCAAAGCTCCATGACTGACATAAAAACATTTTTTTTAAATGTTGAGAAAAAATATTTCAGAGCATTATCAAAATATTCCTATTCTCACCAGGTACCTATGACTCATGTCTGAAATCCTAGCTACTCACAAATCTACAATCTGATGATTACAGTCTGAAACCAGATCAGGCAGACATATCCAAGGAACTCTTATCTCCAGTTAACTATCAAAAAGCAAGTTAGAGGTGTTGCTCAAATGGTAGCATGCCAATCTTGAGCTGAGAATGTTAAAGGAGACTTCAAGACCTTGAGATCAAGCTCTAGTTAATGGCACAGAAAAACAAAAAAAGTAAAGGTCACCTTCTCTCGAAGTTAAGATCGCTTAAATCAAACAATAGGAAGATTGTAAAAACAAACTTATAATTCAGCATTTCTGTATCCATGAGGTTCATGTGTGTGTACAGAGGAGTTTGTTTTACTTACAAGTCTTTTTGTAAGCCTTGAACGGTGTCTAAATTGAACTGAGAAGCTCAGAATCACCGACATAAACAAAATTCATGTGTTGTAACTTCAGAAGGAAAATACTCTTAATTATTACACTCTTTCTTCATTATATTCTCTGTTTTTACTACACATACTAGGTCAAGGTAGTCTTGGATTTTATCATCTTGGGCTCCAAACTTGCCATATCCTAAGGAATTAGATTTTTTTGACATGTTTAACAATCATCATATTACATTATAACCCAGTCTGAATATTTATGATTACAAGTCTTTGTTAAAAGTCTTTGTTGACTGAAAAAAAAAGCCTTCTCTGTGTAAATTTGCTTACTTACAATTGCAGCATCCACAGATTTCTGAATGCTGTGGCATTCAGAAAGCATAGAATTAGGGATTTTCCTATAGAATTAATGATATGTTTCTAGCTATACGAAGAAATCTCAAGAGCAATAATTAAGGGGTTTTGTACATTCTAAAAGTTTACAGAATGCTTCTATGTACACAACTCAGTTTCCTTAAAGTATCCCAGTAGTATCTTGGTTCACAGTTTAAAAAATATGAAATTTAGATTTTAATCACTTACCTCAGGTCTCACAAGACTGTTTATACATACACTATATATCCACATACTCTATACCTACACTCTTGTATAGAGTCAGAAGCAAAAGCCTGTCTGACTTTCTTACTTTAAGTCTAGGTCTTTAATTTCTCATTACACACCCACCCCATCCCCACACAAGAGTATCAATAGATAATTTAGTGTGCGTTTTAAATGTATAGCAGAGATTGCACTTAGATTATCGTCTAGTCTGGCTCAGAGCTTTCTAAAGTTTCCCTCCTCGTAGAGGCTGCCTGTGCCCACAGAAATACCTGTACAAAACTTGTGTTCTTGAGGTGATCAGTCATGAATAGGTGCCTCCTTTCTGAATTCTAACTCTGTGCATAGACCCTTTGGTATGACATTTAATGGAATGCTCTGCTTAGATGTTCATTTCTGACTAGCTCTTACTTGTTGTGAAAGGGGTCTCTTATTTGCCCATTCAGTAGTTGAACAGGACGTGGCCTTACCTGATGCTGTTTCTGGCACAGGGCCCCAGGACTTCAGTCCCTGAACAACATCCTGGACTCTTGCTGTTTTCAAGAGGGGAGTTTAAACAAATGTGAAGCTGAATGGAAACCTAGGAGCTCATTATTTATTAACAGAAAGTGTTATTTTTCCCATGTATGCATGACAACATAGTAATTACATATGGTTGCTGTGGTTTTTGTAGTAATGAATAAGGCTTCCCGAAATCAACAGCTTGACATCAAAAGCAAGCTTGCTTAGGTAGTAGGAAGCAATGTGTAGCATTGAAGGAAGTACTGAATCAGCAGCAAGGAACCCTTTGTCCTGTTCAGGGATCTGGATCTGCCTCTAACTTCCTTTGATTCTGGGAGCAATTATTTCATTATCACAACCTTCTGTTAACTTGTTAAATAAAGCAACAATATTGAATATCACTAAAAAGCTTTATCTCTGGTTCCCAATTTACTTTCACTATCTACATGTATGACAGTATGAGATTATTTGTAGTTTCATGCTCTGTATATTTTCTCCTGTCTCCAATTAAAATCAAAGGAGTTCTCCACATAGTGTCTTCTAACCTGGAAGCTTTGGTCAAGTTCCATATGGGTATATAAGACAGGAGAGCAGTATGTGATTATGTCTGACAAGAACCTGGTTTCTACCAGCTTTGTTATTATGTAGTCATCTTGACTTAATTCCTTATGCAAATGCTTTATTATGAGGGCTTCACATGGAAATTCAATGAAAAAGACCATAGAATTTGTATTGTATGGTAGCTAGAGAAAATGCTTTCATATGTGGTTTCCTTCTGGTTATCTAGGAAGAGACATTTTTTTCCTTCCATATAATATATTTTGTGTGTTTGACATATTGAGATGCAACTATTTTATCTGACTGTAAAATCTCATCGTAAGTCATTACATAACGCAAACAAAATTGATGAGCTTGAGAAGTAGTTTATTTATTTGTTAGTTTGTTTATGGGTAATGGGGCTTGAACTCAGGGGCTGGGCGCTCTCCCTGAGCTTTATTGATCAAGGCTAATGCTCTGCACTTTGAGCCACAATGCCACTTCTACTTTTTCTAGGGGTTAATTGGAGACAAGAGTCTTGTGGACTTTCCTGCCTGGGCTGGCTTTGAACCTTGATCCTCAGATCTCAGCCCCCTAAGTAGCTAGGATTACAGGCATGAGCCACTGGCACCTGGCTAGGATTAGTTTTAATCAGGCAAAGAATATTAGTTCTGGAGATCATTCTGTATTCTTTCTTGTATTTTAAATTTAATCATATAACCTTTTGGTTGTCTTACTTGGCAAGTGGTGGACTTGAAATAGACAATCTTAACCTTTCTTCTCATACTGAAACTCTCATTCTATGTTTCACTGGGGAATTGTTAATGTGGTAGTAGTATTTCTTTGTGCTGCTAATTCTAAGATTTTCATATTGGCAATTTTAATTACTGTAAGGAAAGTAAGTAAGAATTACTGATACCAAGCAAAGCAGTGGGATGTCAGTTTATGAAACCAAGCGTGTTCCATGTAGTAGACTTTCGCTCATATAGAGCAGTCTCTTGAAAAACAGCTGGTTTGCCTTTGATTTGGGATCCGAGGTGTGTTAGTGCTGTATGTATATGTCAGGTGCTTGAGCAGTTGCTTTTGCAAGAGTAAAAATTGTATACGAATGAAATTCTGTGGTCCAGGCTTATTGGCCCATTCTGTCAACCTTAACTGCTTGGGAAGTGGACATGGGACAACTGAAATCTGAGTCTAGCTAGGGCAAAAGTTTGAGACTATCTAAAATAAAATAAATCTAAAGGCAAAGAGAGAGAGAGAGAGAGAGAGAGAGAGAGAGAGAGAGGGGAAGGAGGGGAAGAAGGGAGGAAGGAAGGAAGGGAGGAAGGTAGGAAGGAAGGAAGGAAGGAAAGAAGGAAGGAAGGAAAAGGAAAAAGAAATTCTGTTTTTAAGTCTTACAGAGATACGAAGTGAACTTTCTTTTAAAAGTACATGTATGTCAAGGTTACTGGATTTAGGAACTGCTGACAATTCATGTTTAAGATTTTTTTTCTTTTTGGTCTATTTTCCCCCTTGCAGGATGTTTTCACCCCAGAATGCAAATTTAAGGAATCTGTGTTTGAGAACTACTATGTGATCTATTCTTCCACACTTTATCGCCAGCAAGAATCAGGCCGAGCATGGTTTCTGGGACTCAATAAAGAAGGTCAAATCATGAAGGGGAACAGAGTGAAGAAAACCAAGCCTTCATCACATTTTGTACCAAAACCTATTGAAGGTATGGAAGCTGTTTCTTTTCTTCTTGTCCTTTTGGGTCTAAGCATTATTTGAATGTAACAAATCTCAAGAAAGGCGTAGAGAGCACAATTTTACCATTTCCCATCAAAAAAGAGAGAACAAAACAGAATAAACAAAAAGAATAAGATAAATTCTCTTCTAACTAGTTGGTACTTACTAAATCCATGAATGTGCAAACTACAACATTCCTGGAAGGAATAAAAAAAACACTATTAGCTCCCATTTAGAACACAATAATGTAATTTCCCAGGATATATCCTTGAAAAAACAAAAATGTTGTGGCAGTGCTTTAAAGTTTGCAAAAGACTTCTAGAAATACTTTTACATGCTAATCTTTAATCCCTGTGAGCAAGTATAATAACACAGTGTGCCAGTTTTTCTTTGTAGTGTTTAGGAATGAAAATGGGAAGGGGAAACAAAGGAGGAGGCTACAATGCTTGATAAGAATTGTACTCATTATAATGCCCATGTAATTGTAACCCCTCTGTAAAGTATTTTCACAATAAAAAAAAAGAAAATGGTGAACTCAGTTAACTTGACCATTTTCAGTTGAGCTGAAGATTTCTCTTCTACTGATTGTTTAAGTAGTATTTACTTACATCAAATTGGAAAGTAGACTAAGTCCACCGCTGGCAACTATGTTTTTTTCTTTATTTGATAGGTCGATTTTTTTTCATATTTTTTTATTGTGAAAATACCGTACAGAGGGTTACAATTAGATGAGCAAGGTAATGAGTACATTTCTTATCAAGCATTGTTGCCTCTTCCTTTGTTTCCCCTTCCCATCCCTTCAAATTTTATTATAAAGGTGATGTTCGAAGGGGTTAGAGTTAAGACTCAGGCAAGGAGTACATTTCTTTTTGACAGTGTCACTCCCTCCCTCATTCTCTCCTAGCTTTTCCCCTCCCAACTTCTATTCCCCCAGGGTTGCATAGTTCATTTCCAACTTAGTGTCTAGTGAGTGTCACTGCTGAAGTAGTTCACCCTTTGTCTCAACCTTTCTGTGCTTCCCCTGCCCCTCCCCAAATCAGATAAACTTATACACAAGACAAAGGGTACAGAAATCAAAAACAGTGACAGAAGGGAATGCACCACATTTTAAAAAAGGAAAGAAGAAAGTAAAGAAAATTAAAAAATAACTGCAAATAGTACATTGGCTTTTTATGTAATAGTAGGTATTGAGAGCAAAAGCGTCATGCTTGCTAGGTAGGTATTCTATCATGTGAACCACATGTTCGATGCTTTTTTCTATTAGCTATTTTCAAAATAGAGTCTTATTCTTTATGACCAGTTTTTCCTGGACTGCAATCCTCATACTTGTGCCTCCTGTTTCCGTGATTCCTCAGTAGCTAGGATGACAGTTGTACACTACTGCACGCAGCCATTGGTTGAGAGAGACTTGAAAATGTCTTTTATTCATGAGTTGGCTTTGAACCATGATCCCCAATCTCCATCTCCCAAGTAGCATAGATTACGGGGTTGAGCTACCACCATTGCCAAGGACAACGATATTTTTCTCTCAGAAATTCCTCAACTAGGATACTGGTTGAACATATTTATTCATTTCAGTCAAGTGCTCTGATAATTTCTCATACATTTATCAGCATAGAATTCTGAAAGTCATGTTGTATTTATGAATAACACGAGCTCCACCTCCTTGTCTGATGAAAACATTGGAACAGCTCCTTAATTTAGTCCTGCTTGCTTTTCTCCTGTGGCAGGGGCTGAGGTCAATGAACACAATGTCTGCCCCATTAAACATAGAATGCATAGACTACAGGGGTCAGCCAACATCTCAGTCAAAGCTATTGGTCAAAACATTATCTGGAATGTGATAGAGCTTTTGTTCATAAAAAAACAATTCATTACTGAAACTCCGTCATCATGAACTGTACACAGATAGTATTTTCTTTTTAAAAATATTTATTGCTATTGTATGGGTGATATACAGAGGGGTTACAGTTATGTAAGTCAGATAATGAGTACATTACTGTTGAACCCCAAAGCTTGGCTTGTTCTCAGGAAATCATTTCTTCCCTTTAGTTTCTTTATATTGTAATAAAAATGTACTTAAATAAAAGTTTTCAATATAGTTCTAAATAGTCAAAAGAGAAAAAAAAACCTCACCTTGTGTCTTTGGCCAAACAAAATTGAACTTTTACTCCTAGGGGCCTAATGATGAATATGTCACCTCCCCAATTTCTGTTCTCTCATTTTCTGTCTGAAAAGTGCTGATATACCTTGGAAAGGATTAATTCAAGGAGATTGGGAATATAGAGCAATGGTAGCGTATTTGCTTAAAATGTACCAACACTGTGGGTTTGATGTCCAACACCTAAAACAATAATAATAACTGCAACCAAAATAAGATTCATTTCTTGGTCTGGCACTGGTGGCTTACACTTGTAATACTAGCTACTCAGGAGGCTGAAGTCTGAGTATTATGATTTGAAGCTAGCCTGAGGAAGAAAAGTTTGTGAGATTCTCACCTCTTACCACCCAAGAGCCAAAAGTAGCAACATGACTCAAGTGGTAAAGTGCCAATTTTGAGAAAAATAGCTAAGCCAGAGTACAGAAGCCCTGCGTTGAAGCCCTAGTATCAGCACAAATAAAAAGTCATTGCTACTTTGCGGGACTTGAACTCAGGGCCTGGGCACTGTCTTTGAGTTTCTTCACTCAAGGCTAACAGAGCTCTACCACTTGAGTCACAGCTCTACTTCTGGCTTTTTTGGTTGTTGATTGGAAATAAGGGCCTCAGTGACTTTCCTACCTGGGATGGCTTTGAACTGTAGTCCTCAGATCTCAACCTCCTAAGTAATTAGTCTTACAGGCATGAGCCATCAGTTCCTAGCTTCTCTGACATCCCTCAAGAAACAAAAAGCATTGCTTCCATATCTGCATTCACATTAAATATATTTATTGTCCCTCTGTCTCCCCTTATTTATGGTTAGTTCCCTGTAATTGAACAAACATGTTTTTTTTCTTGTATCTCCCTGTTTCTTGTACAATATGCAGCCTATGAAAGAGATGGAAATTTAATTATTAGATGTCAGTTGAAGAAGTGTACATGTGAAGGAACAATTGAATAGAAAAGCAATGAGAACTTTAGGATATTTGCAGAGATATTATACTTTGAGATAGCAATAGTATAGACAATTTATACCAATGGCAATTGTATGTTAGCAATACTAAAGGGAAAGTAGCAATCATCTAGTAGAAAAGTGCTATATTTCATGCTGCATGAATTGATATTGGAAATTAGAGAGAGAACTGACACTCCTACAAAAAGGAAGATTCATTGAGAAGCTGGTATTTAAACATGCCTTTTGGGGTAGGCTAGGTTCAGATCAGTCAAGATAAGTAGGATTACCTAGACATAAACATGTCAAGAATACTGCAAGTAAAGTCAGAAAATTGGCTGCTTAGCAGGGTGCCTAAGAAGCAGATGATATTTCTGTGAAAACGATATTGATCCTCAAGAAGGTTTTTGACATATTTTGCTTACACCTCATGCATTGGTTTTATTTGCTCACTTAGGTTGATATTTTGTTCTTATAAAAATATAGTACAAGTTTATTAACAGTTTTGGGAGAATTTAGGAAAGCATAAAGGATAAGAAGCTACTTGTTTAATTCATTCTTCATATGGATAATTCACTGATACAGAGCCCTTCCACTGAAAAGAAAGCACCTGTAACTTATCCTAATTATAGTTGCTATCTACACTTAAGTTAGTGAAGTTTCTTCTTGGTTTTAGATGATAAATACATTGACCTAAATTGCTAGTTTCTTAGTAGCTTATATGTTGTGTTTGTTGCTTCCTTTCAGTGAGAATATAGAATGGGAGCACTAGACATATAAGTTAGAAGTTTTGGGTTCACCCAACCCAAAACTATGTCCAGTAGTTTAGTCACACCTGTCCCCTCAAAAACTAAATCTAGAGGTGAGCCATTCAGGAATAGTCCTGTGATTTCCCAACTCCAGGGATCTTGGCTGTAACTAGCTTTCCATGCCTGTCTTCATAGTGTGTTTGTATGATTTATTAGATCCATGCCCTGCACTGTTACTACAACAATGCGCATGGTCCTGTCCTGGATATTCCCCTGGATGATGCTATCTCACCAACATTCTTATGATAATCAGAGGAGAAATGAAGGAGGTACAGAGATCTGTGTGAATTTTCTTTCATGATGCTTCCCTATAGCTGCTGTATGATGCTTACACACACTGGACAAAATTGAGATAGGATTCATGTTTAGTTGCATATAGCTTTTATTCGTTTTTTAAATAAGTTTTTATTGTAAAAATACTGTACAGAGTGGTTATAGATACACGAGCAAGGTAATGAGTACGTTTCCTATCAAGTATTGTTGTCTCCTTCTTTGTTTTTCCCCTACCATTCCTTCCCTCCCATCTCCACAACTACATCCCCCCGCCCAAATTGTAAAGTTTGTTTTTCAACATAGTGCCTTATACATCTCATTGTTGTGATGGGTCAACTTGTATCTCTATTTAAACATTTTGTTTTTCCCCTTCCCCTCCCCAAATTATACTGACATCAAATACAGTGAAAACAGGGATTATACAGGGGAAGAACATACAAAGCAACAAAAACAATCACATGGCACATTATAAATACATTAGAAACAATAGCAAGAAAGAAAAAACCACTTGTAGCTTTCATTCTTGATGGTCACATAAAAATTCATATTCATATTTTAAGAGATAATGGTAGAGCCGGGTGCCGGTGGCTCATACCTGTAATCGTAGCTACTCAGGAGGCTGAGTTCTTAGGATCACGGTTCAAAGCCAGCCCAGACTGGAAACTCCGTAAGACTCTTATCTCCAATAAACCACTAGAAAACTGGAAGTGGTGCTGTGGCTCAAGCGGTAGAGCACTTGCCTTGAGCTGAAGAGCTGAGGGAAAGTGCCCAGTACAAGAGTTCAAATCCCATAACTGACCAAAAAAAAAAGAGAGAGA